AGTTTTCCTCATTGTGTGATACTTACTCAAACGACGACGAAGAAGAAGAAAGGAGGATAGACTTCGTATGCTGCTACCGTTCTTTCGTGCAATGGAAAACGAGGTCGAGAGAGAGGAAGAAGACGCGTGCGAGCGGCTCTGGTTCAAATTGAGAGTTGAAGCTTGTGCCCTACCTATGCAGTTTAATGCAACCTCGAGTCGTTTGAAGTTGACAAAGCGCAAGGTCGATGACTGACAGGATGGAGTTCAGATTGATTGTTGACAACTGGAGGGGGCGGGAGAAGGCAGGCGGACTGCTGGAAGGAAGATGACAACAAGGTCGAATGGAGGTAATCGTCACCTTGGACGAGGTACGACCGAAGTACCGCTCACCGTCGGATACAACCCTCAGATGGGAGATGCCTTTGGGACACACCTGAAACCAGAAATCGATAAAAACTGGTTAAATCTAAGCAAAACACCATTTATAAATAGGGGAAGACTAGAGGGTAGCATAGGCAAGATTTTTGAAAGGAAGGGGGATGAAAATGGAAGGGGTTGAAGAAGAGCAGGGGAGCATGGCAACAACTATGAGAAAAAGGGGGCGTACAATCAAGAGAGGATTACAACGAGTAGGAGAAAGGAAGGGCGGAACTTCCACCCTAAGTAGTATCTAACTGGTTCGGTCCCCACATATCCAAAACATCCCCGCATCACTCTCTCTCTTTCTTGTGTGATTGTGATGAATTTAATGTTCAATTGTTTGGTCTCTTGAATAAGTATTGTCAGTGTTTGTGCTTCATTGCATGATTTATTAATATACTACTATGGTTTAATGTAAGTGTCTGGGAAGTGATGCTCACAAATTCACGGTGAAATATATTTTTTATATATCTAGTCAATATGTATGAAATGTTTATTGCTTATATTATATAGTTGTTTGCCATGAGTTCATGGACAAAATTCTTTTAAGGTGGGAATAATGTAACACCTTATTATAGAGAAAAAAATCACCTCAATCCAGATGAATTGACCCAATTTCCTCACCGCCTAAAAGAGTAATATTATTTAGAAACATGAAGAAAGAGCATGAGAGGCAAGGAGTGAGAGATTGTTCCTGGAGAACTGTTTAGGAAAATATGGATTGAGTTGTAAAGCAGGCGAGAGGAGGTAGTGCAACGATTAAGAGAATGAGATGAAGTTAGTGGAAGAGCTAGACATCAACTTGTTGATCACTTATGATTGCAGAAGATAAATAAGGTATGATGTCTAACCTCTGCATATATATCTCATTTCCATCTCTTTTTCTCTCTTATTGTCTCCTCTCTTATTGTCTCCTCCAATTTCATTGTCTCCTCCAATTTCTCATTTGTTCTGTGATAACAGAAACTTTTGAAATATTATTATATCTCATTTCCATCTCTTCCTCTCTCTTATTGTCTCCTCCAATTTCTCATTTGTTCTGTGATAACAGAAACTTTTGAAATAATAATAATAATATTATTATTGAATTGAAACATTGGGACGATTTGTTTAGTGAAGTGGAGAGGGGAGGGTATCTCTCGATCATTCTTCACTCGTAACCGTCGTAGGACGAATGGGAGAGCGAGAGAAAAATCGACAAAGGAAGAAGGAAAGTTCTCGGCTTGCTTGTGAGAGAAGAAGATAAGGAGGAAGCCGAAGGAGGAAGGTTCATACGGTTTTCCTCATCGTGTGATACTTACTCAAACGACGAAGAAGAAGAAGAAAGGAGGATCGACTTCGTATGTTGCTACCGTTCTCCCGTGCAATGGAAGACGAGGTCGAGAGAGAGGAAGAAGACGCGTGTGAGCGGCTCTGGTTCAAATTGAGAGTTGAAGCTCGTGCCCTACCTATGCAGTTTAATGCACCTCGAGTCGCGACTAAAGGATTAGATGCAGGCCACTTGAAGCCCCTGCATTCCTCGCATACAAAAGAGGGAAGGATGGGATTTGCGGCTTTTTTCGCGTGCATAGGAAGAAGGAGGTCCTGTGCTCGTGCTCCATTGGGGTGAGGCGGGACTGAAGGAAGAAGAGGAGCTTGCGTGGCCGAGCCGAGACTGAAAGGAAGAAGGGCTGAGCTTCGTGCGTGAGCTAGGACATAGACCGAAACTTTTATATAAAGGTATGTGTAATATTTTAAATAAGTTATTGAATTAGTTCTTTAAGTATAAGAATTTTGGCTTGGAAAGAGGAGTTGGTGAAGTGGGCGAGTTAGGGAGGAAGAGATTGACCTGAAAATCTATAATGTAAATGTTAAATTATGTTACTAATGAAATTAATGATGTAATTAGTTAAATTAATTAATGTTATTAAACTTTATTACTGTTTGGATGTGAGTAAGAAGGTCGGCTAATTATTTGGATTTGTGGAAGAAGACATAATTTTAAGAGATAAGATATGTTTTAAATTTAAGTTTAATTGAATTAATTAAAAATTAATATTTAATAAAATATTAATATTTAACTTTAATTTAAGTTGAAACACATTTAGGCTTAGAAGGTCACGGGTTAGGGAGTCAGTCTAGCAAGCATGCTCAATAAGTTGAGTGATTATTTTTTTGATGCATTAAATTAATGTTTAATTAAATGAATAATTGTAATAAATGATTTAAAACCAATATTTCATTCATGAATTTCATTTTGAAAGTCTGAAATGATACAAAGGGATGAGAAAAAAATAATAAACTAATGAAGGTATATTTTAAATGATTTTAAATTCATATGAAAAGAAAGGTAAGAGTTTAACTCATACAGGATTACCCCCAGATTGGAATGACAGGGGATGCAATGTACCCGTGCAAGTTAAAAGAAATAAATAAAAGTGCACATTCTGGTGGCAATTTGATGGCGTCTCCCGATACATTTATTGAGGGTGCCTTTAAGCATATTTTTGGGATACTTTCGGGTATGACACTAATCCCGTTGTCCTTTTAAAAAGAATTTAAAAAATGGTAAATACTTAAGGTGGAACTGAAATGGATAAATTGTAAGTTTTAATGAAATAATGTGCATTTTCTTTTGGTCATTTATGCATAACATATCATAAGTATTTAATGCATAATAGATTATAATTACTCACCAAGTCATACTTATAGTTATAATTAATATTTTCTTTCAGGAGGGAGAAAGTATTAGATTAATATATCTATAAGAACAAAATTTGGTTTACATGAGAAGGAATGTAGCTGATAGATACTGGTATGATATGTTTGTAATTTCTTTTTGTACTGTTTCTTTTAGATAGTCATATATAGTTGTGTTAATGAAGATCATACTTGCATATTTTCCGTTACTATTGGATGATTTAAATTTCTTTATTTTACTTGTGGATTATTAGCAGCTACTTTATATTTATTGGAAGTTTTTAAAATTTGGATAACTAGTTAGCTGTTATTAGCGATTATTTTATAAAACTGTCGGGCTGGTTTGTGGCAAGTTCTCTCTTTTATTGTTGCTGATGTTAGTTTGGGATATCATGGGCATTGTTGTGGGCATGTGTTTATGTCACAAGAGCTTATAGGAAGTTTTTTTTCTGCATTTATTGACCAAATTAGGCTACTAGTTAAATAGTCTTGATGAAACAAATGTTCTTCTCATGTCTCTTGAATTTTGGAAAGATTTACATTTGTTCATTTTGTGAAATAATGATTTTAGAACTGGTGTTGGATGGCATCTGTATTATTTTATTTTGTTTGTATTTTAGTGGTTAAATTTTTTGTTGTTAGATTTTGATTCTTTTAGTGATCTAAATGCCGATAAATGTTTATAAAAAATATGCTATCATATATTTGATTATTTATTACCTTGGAATGTAGAAATCTTCTAGGCCCAGTGCATGGTTTTGCGGCATGTAATTGAGCAAATAGATTTGTGCAAAATTACTATTATGCATCAATGAATGGAGAATGATGTTAAATAAAGCTGACGCTAGATAATGAAAGCAAGGCTTATTGGAAAGATGATAGTGATGATTATATGGTTTTTTTTTTCTCTTTTTTAATTAGTTATAAGCTTGGGTTTTAAATTGCTATTAGTGATGCCTCCTTACAAAGAGATATGTTTTAAAAATATGGTTTTAATAAACCGCAGAGCGAATTATTGAATTTCTTTGTGGTGCTCATTTTTGTAGCTTTGTTTCTTCATCATTCATCATTTCATTTGTTAAGGTTTTTTTTTTTTTTGTTTTACATACATAGATATTGATTGTTTTTTTAATAGTTTGTTTGCATATTAAATTTCTAGTTTGCATGCATATGTTTGAAAATATCTAATTTTTGTATCTTGTTTATGTATTATATGTATTTATCACCTTTTGTTCTAAAGTCTCTGTTTTCTCTTAATTTTGCATTACCTTTTCATAATGTGATCTGTATCAGTTCTATTGAGGATTGGTACTTATGAGGAATAAGAGTAGTATGCTGTTTGGCGAGTAATATAATGAGGATGATATCTTAGATCGACTTGTGAGATCTACCATCTCTTGAATGGAATGAATGTGGATTTACTTCAGATATGTGTACTTTTGAACACTTTTTAGTAACAATTTAGTGAATTTAAAATTCTATTCAGGTTAAATATTGTTGTTAGCGCCCATGGACAATCTGCATTTTGGTCAACTGGTATAGGCGGTGGCTACCATACTTACTTTACGTATAAGTATGTAATGATATATTTTATGTGCCTCCTTACTAGAGTGGAAGCAATGCTTGCTCCACAATCTGATCACTAGTCATTTTATTTCTTTTTTAAAATTGTGCTTTTTTGTGCCATGAATCCATTAACCAATAATAGCCCATGATTTTCCTAGGTTGGAATGGCTTTGTCAATGATTCATAAGCCCATTCTTTGATTTTTTCGGTATTACTGTTGTTACCTTAACGTTGTTAAAGAGATAGTATGACTGTATTGTATTCAGTAACACATTCAAAGCAGTTTTATGTTCTGCTATTAAGATTGCCATTCTCAAATTTTCTAATTACTCTTTTTTAAATGTTCTTTGTAGATAGTTTATACGTCTGTTTGTTTAGCTGACGTGCCCAGCGAGCCTTCTGATTTCTTCCCACTTTCTGTATTTTATCAAGAGAGGCTTTCTGCTGCAGGTCGTACTAGGTTTGTATTGCTGGGTTCTTTTAATCATATGCTTTCTTTATGCCTCGAAATTCACTCATGTTTTTTTCTCGGCCTGATGATTATTGTTTGTTTTCAGCGGTGGATTTTTCAAGCGGGAGGGCAGAGCCAAAGATCATGAGGTGAAATATATTTTTTTTGATACCGTGCTGTAGTTTTGGCGCTGTGCAAATTCACTGTGGTGTTAATGATACTCCAGTCAATTAAATTGCACATTCAAATATGCGATTCAATTTTGTATGTGCTCATGCATTCTGTTTACAATCTGTTGCTTGGAAGTCCACGTCCAACATTCAATCACACTAACCCTTGTTATGTCGGTGCATGTTGATGAAAATGAAATTATTTGAAGTTTTAGGGAACATAAGGTAAAGTTTCCTACAGTTAAACAGTTTTCAATAATCTTTTATGGGATATGGAGTGAAGTGTCAAAATAGTCCCTTCACTATCTACATGGGGCTTGACGCCGCGGTATCATAAAATGAATGTGGGAGGGAGTTGCGTTGATACCGGAGAAAACCAAAATCACAATAAAAATGAAAATATTATTGCTGAATTCAATAGGATTATAACAATACTCGTTAAAACAGAAAAAAATAATTGATAAATAAACAAAACCAACACTCTCTAATTGAAGGACGAGGGTGGCGGTCGATGGCTGGAAAGCAGCTGGGAGGGTTGGTTTGGGCTTGCGACAGTAACTGGCTGTCTTGGAGGGGTTCTGGTAGCACCCGGAAATCAGGTGCAGGGGATTGTGGGCGCTCATTGCTAGGTTGGAGACTGCTGGGAAACTTGTTGGCAGCTACTGTTAGGGAGGAGCAATTCTGTGGAGGGAGCAGGGAAGGGCTGAGATGGGCAGTAGGGAGGGAATGGCCTGTTGGAGGGGTTTGGTGATCCAACAGGGAGGAATAAAGGGGGTGGCTGGGTTTCTCGGTGGCTGGACAGGGAATACAGGAGGGAGGAGGCGGTTAAGGTTCATGGGATGGTATGGTGGATAGGCTGTAATAGGGAAAGCTGGTCTTGTGTTGCGGCAGAGAAGGAAGAGGGGACAAGGCCTTATAGTGGAGTTATGTGAATAGGAAAAGAAAGTGGCGGGAAGGGAGGAGGCCCCACGGAGGATCTGCTGGGAGGCAAAAGCTGTGGCTGTTTTGGAGGAACAAGAGACAGGCTGGAGGTGGGTAAACGACTGCAGGGAGACTGCTCGACAACGGCCTCAGGTTCGCTGCAGCAGATCCGGCGAGAGTGGCAGCGGAGGGGAGGTGGGGGTGGAAGTCTGGGAAGATAATCACCACCAGGGGAGAGTGATACAGGCGGAGCACCACCTTAACTATCATATACTGCCCTTGAAGGGGAAAATAGGACGCAGACGCCTGTCCTCACAAATCTGAAATCAGAAATAACATAAAACTAAAAACCTAGACGACAAACACACATATGAATATGAGATAGATAGGCATGTAAGGAAAACAGAAAAAGGGGGAAATTTCCCGCCTAATGAAAAGAGGAAGGAGGGTGCCGGTTCAATCGCCTCTCTCAACTAAACAGGTTTGGGCCAAACTGGTTCAACTTTTGGAGGAAAACCTCCGTGTTGAGCGTGTCGTGTATTGGGAGCAAAGCGGAAGACAAAGACTGCCTGGACCTGTTCGGTCCAAGCTCTGGAAGAGCCAACCTGCTCTTCCAAAGGGGAATACCGCCTCTTTCAAGTGGAGGGGCAAATCACTATCCTATTATTATATGTTTGTGTTCCTTATATTTTAGGGCTAGTTTTTCATGTGTTTAGTTTAAGACAGCCGTCGACATCCATCCTTCTCTCTCTGAGGGCTATATTCAAAGAATTGGGTGGTACTCCAAATGTATCTATTGCCTGAGGTAGTGATTATCTTCCTTATCCATTTCCGCGTCTTCCCCATGACGCTCCCAACCATCCTCCATCGCTCCAACCACTTTTAACAACACTTACTTGTTGTTTTTCATTGAAGTTTTTCCATTCCAACCTTTCTTACTCGCTGCCACAACCCCAGACAACCGCCCCTTATTGTCTTGCAGTCTCTCTCTTCGCACCGTCACTGCCGTCATCCAAAAAGGAGCAAATTGTTGTTTTTTGTTGTTGCCTGGTTGTTCCAACCTTTACCACTGCGCTCCTCTGCTTGCCACCACATGTGCTGCCCTCACTATCCCAACCCTATGCTTGCTTCCCCATTTGCTTCGCTCACTGCCGCAGCTCTTAGCTTCACTAATAACGTGATTCTAGTTCCTCCTTTTACTGTCCCAACCACCCCAACCCATTTCTGCCACCTACCTCCTCTCCTCAACCACTTAGCTTACCTCCATCACTTTTGGGATTCACTTTAGTTGTGTTTTTTTTGTTTCTCTTATTGCATTTCCTTTTAGGTGTGTGAGAGTTGTAACCAACTAATTGACTTTGCAGTAATAATATTTTATTCTGCTATTATTGTTTGAGTTAACTCTGATATCATTTGGTATCAGAGCTAGCCTAATCCTAGTCCTATCCTAAGGTTTCGAGCATCCACTAATGCCTAATTTTATCTCCACCTAATTTTTGTCTTTCTCAACTTACATCTCCCTCTTACACCTCTTTCCACTTACCCACACCCAAAACTAAGCAATGTCGCCAAGAAAATAATTGTTGGAAGCCTGATCAAGGGAAAAAGACACGATACCGTTTAATGATAAATTCACAATGAGGTGTCTGAGGGTTTTCTAAGGAGGATTTGCAGTGGGAAATCTGCCAACTATAGCAGAAGCTTACCACCTTCAAGAGGAAGCAATCCGAATGGGTAACCCATAACCACATCAGTGACTTGTTAGATCGAAGGAATGTAGTGAATCTCTTCAATCATGCAGGTTTTCAGGGATGAAGAACCTCTACCTCTAAGATGTGAGTTGAAGTATTTGAGAAGTCAGAATTTTGATATAAATGTGATTTGCCATATTTCAATGGCCACATAGATCCATACAAGTTCATTGAGTTGCTCTAGGCCTTGGAATATATTTTTGAGTGTTAGGATGTCCCTCCGGACGGAATGGTGTAACCAGCCACCGGTAAGTTAAAGAATAGTGCATTATTTTGATGACAAAATTTGAAGTACTCACGCCAGTGTGAAAGCAAAGACATTATTACTACCTGGTTTGAGATGAAAGGGAGATGTAATTCCAATACACGCCAATTCACTACAGACTGGATATTCATACCCCAGTTTCAAAAATGGAGAAACCGCATCACCAAGCGACCATCACATCTTATGGCCAAGTTCAACCCCAGGATCTTACAACATGAGTACACCCAGGAGAAAATTAAAGCTGACCCCGCCTGAGAAGACACTAGTTCCAAGTGAAAAATAGGTGGAGCCAATCGGTAGTCCTAAATCTATCCCCATCAGGAAGCGTTTCAAGTATCTCGAATTGGGCATATTGAATCAAATTGCATAACTAAAAGGACAATCTGTTTCACTGACCAAGGAGTAGTTAAAGAAATGGACAATTACACATCAATCACGAGATAGGGTGATGACACAAAATAAGAGTATTGCCTGCCATCCAACGAGGAAGAGGCATCATTGATTCCAGTTGAACTTAATAGATAGATTTCATCTAAGTTGACAATAACTATTCTGAAAGTAGTGAGTCTATTCTAGAAAGTAATGATCATTCATGCAGAGTATAAGGTTGTGGTGTGACAAACTACATTTTTGCAGGCGTTGGGAGGAGCTTCAGCAGGACTGACATTGAATGTCCGAAAAGGCCATGAGTTTGATGAGCCGATAGTAGACACAAGACAAATTCAGGTAAAAATATCTCAAACTTTTCATATATATAGTCCGCCTTCCGAGTTGCCCCTAGTCAAGTTTGTCAGAGATGAGATGCTCTTGAGCTACTTTTGGAAGATTATATGGAGTTATTTGGGCAATACAATCAATTCAATAGTGTACTCACTGACAAATGATCAAACAGGAGGGATGACCCGCGATGTTAAAAATTACCTTAGGTGCTTAACTGGAATGAACATCTTACAGTGGGATCCAAGTCCTTTCAGAGAAGAAGGAGAAGAGGTCTCTCTTGTGTGGTCTAGCTTGTTATATATTTTGTTTCTGAGTTGATTTTTTCTGACATGCTTGTTTTATCAGGAACACTCAGCCGAGTACGAGTGGAAAGAGGAAAATTACAGATTTAACGACTCGAGAGTAATCTTGTGAGAATCTACGACTATATGTAACTCTAACTCAGGTTGTACCAAAAGAGGATGAATACTTTTTCTATAAGATTGTGTTTTGGAATGACAACTCTTGTAAGAAGGATTTACTGGGAGATTTCAAACTTTTCTCTACTTTCAAGAGGTCGGTTTGACTACTGTGTGGAGATAGAAGCTTTGATAGATGTGGTCTAATCTCCTCCAATTTCAAGAGATTGACGTGGATGTCCAATAAGGTGGACACTGGAGACGAGTCGCGTCCCTTTGTATTTGGAGCGAAATGGAAGTTAGAATGGCTTGGACACAAGCTAAGCAGTATCATTAAAATTAAGGCCTTTCTTACCTTGTGTTTTCTTCTGTGTTTTGTGTGAGTTGTTTTAAAGGAAGTGAAACAACCTATTTAGTTTTCTTGGATTCCCAAAAAATATATATATATGTAGGAAGATTTACAAACATACCTCTAAATTATTATGTATTTACATATCTAACAACTAAACTTCAATTCTTACATATATGCATGCCACCTTACCTATGCATGAAATGGTGTTTCTCACATTTTAAAAGTTAAAATACTGATATTTTTTATTTTATATGAAAAAATTTGTGGTATAGATGTAAAAAGTAATGTTTAGATGTTGGATGTGTAAATACATAGGAATTGGGTGGTATGTATGTAAATACCCAAAAAAGGTGAAATAGGTGAAAATAGATTTTTAGTCAACGACTATGGGTTTAAAGATGAACAATTAAGGAAAAGCAAGTATCCTCCCAAGGTTGTCTTGAATTTTTTGTTCTCTCTTTTTCTGAATCCTGCAAATTAAGTTATTTGGATGCCTACTTGCAGGTTCTTATTTGCAGATTGATAGATAGACCTCTGCGTCCCACAATGCCAAAAGGTTTCTACCATGAAACTCAGATTCTTTCATGGGTATGCTTCTATGCTGCTTGCTTTTTTGCGTGAGATGTACACATTTTTATGTGTTGTTGGCATAATTTTATTTCCATTCTGATCTCATATTGCGAGGATATCCTTTGATGAAAGGAACTGAGATGATATAGTTGTTTCATGTATGATTAATTTGTCCATTGTTTTAATAGGCTTAATTTACCCATTATTTTAACAGGTTTACAGCTATGATGGCATTCATTCCCCAGATTGTTTGGCTGTTACAGCAGCAGGCATAGCAGTGTAGGTCTGCTTAGAATTTACTTGAATTAGATATTTCTTTATTAAAATTATCAATTTTCATTTATTTTTGCAGAGCCCTCTCAGAAGTTCCAAACACCAAAATAGTAGCGGGAGTTCGAATTGGTCTGATCGGTGATAAGTTTATTGTTAACCCAACTACAAAAGAGATGGAGTCATCAGAGCTTGATCTGATGCTAGCTGGAACTGACAGTGCTATCATGATGATAGAAGTAAGCTTTTGACATATTTTTCTGCATCGCGGTATCATTCCGCACTGTATGAAACATTAATAAGACTGGCTATGTTTTTGGATCCGAGTATTCAGCAACAAAGAATTCAGATAAAAATGAGAATTTGTGGTAACATAAGAGAGAATATTTGCATCATAATTGTATATAAAGGAAAACGGGGTATCATTTTCTGAATCAAAGGTTGTAGAAAGTAGCTTAATTAGAGCATGTGCAATAATGACTAACAGATGCACCAAGAAAATCGGGAGAGAGCGTTAATTTGGGAAGCATAAAATGAAAGAAGTAGAGTACAGGAGTAAGATCAGTAAAGAAAGAGTAATACAAGGGAGACGGCAGATGTGGGAAAATTAAACCAATAACTATTCATTAGACTTTGCGGTCGATTACCGGATAAACTTTTAGCCATTAATTCTTCTCAACTGAATTCAACTGGTAAATTAGCGGCATCTAAGTGAGTTTTTTTTACATGCTGAAACTTCAGCCGCTAATTATTTGTTACTGAAATTTTGCAATATCAGCAGCAATCATTGATAAAATATTCAGTCATACAATCAACCGCTAATTTAGCAACCGAAAAAAAAACTTAGCCAATATTTCAGGCGGTAAATCCAAAGCTTTCATGTAGTGATTTCTGAGGATGCAATTACACTATTATACCTATTTAAAGAAAACATTAAAAATAATTTAAAGAACATAAAATAAATGTCCCTAGTTACATCAGCTAATACAATTTTTGAAAACTATTATGGCGACTCACAGAGGCTGTGATTGGCTGGTCGCCATCATATAAAACTGTTGCTTTGGCTTGTTCTAGAAGCATGACTGGGGTAATGCAATTTGGTGGAGTTTTGATTGTTATTTTGATATTTATTCCTTTTTTGTTGTTCAGTGCCACTTCAGTTTATAGTCCATAAATGTTTGAATCCATACCATCCTTCTGAAGTATTAGGTCACATTTCTTTCTAGGTGCTAGCACATTTTTTGACTGACGGTCTCAGGAGGAACACAGAGTTGCTTCAGGATCATCTAAGTTCAATAGGATTAGTTTAGTTTGGATTTTGAGTTAGATGTTGATATCCTCTGTATTCATGCCATTTATGTCTGTCCATATGGAACACTGAAAGGAGTCAACTTGCAAATCCAATGCCTTATTTTCTTTTTTTTTTTCATGATCTTACACTGACGCGGATGCTTGCTTGGCTGAACCGACCAATGGTTCAACCAAAGCAGGGGTCCCAGTCCAATAGGAGGTTAGACCGGTCCAACCGACTTCTTTTACTTTGGGTGTCTCTCCCTCATCAGGGCTGTATCCAAGGACAGGTGGTGTTCTGGGTGTATCTTGCTCTGAGGTGGTGATTATCTCGTCAAGCTCGCACCATAATCCAGCTATAGTTCTCTGCCTAGGAGGTCTGAAGTCTGCTATTAGCAATATTGTGAAATTACAACCATACTGGATATTGGGGGATGTTCAAACTTTAGCATTGAAGGTAGAAATATAACAAAAATAGAGCAGACAACTATCATCATTCAAGCAACATCGTTCAATCAGACAACCGCCTATAACTATCGCGACTGACAAAGGTTCCTCACAAGCCGAGTTGTCACAGCCATCGATTAAGGCATCGTCGAAAAGGTTGCTGACGAGAAGTTAGAGGATAGTCCAGAGGAAGAACTTCAACTCCAAGGGGACGAGGGAGAATTGTTAATCATTCGTATAGTTCTGCAGTCAGAGCTAGAGTGAGATCAATCATGGTTGAGGCGCAGTATCTTCCACATCATGTGTATGGTAATGGGCAAGGTTTGCAGCTTGATCATCGACAGTGGGGGTTATGTAAATATGGTGCCCACTCTAATGGTGAATAAGCTGGGATTGGTCACACGGAAACATCCCCAATCCTACTTCCTTAACTGGTTGAAGGAGGGAAACGAGATACACGTAAGATCAACAATGCTTGGTTGAATTCTAAATTCGGGATTAGTTATAGGAGCAAGTGTGGTGTGATGTGATTTTGATGGATGCATGTCATATTATATTGGGTTGGCCTTGACAGTTTGACTGCAATATGCAGCAAGACAACTTCAAGAATATTTACTCTTTCAAAAAGGATGGGAAATGTGTCATATTATTACATGTTAAGGACGTGAGATGTGTAGGCAACACAGAGGAAGCGTTAGTCCCAAGGGCCACCTTCATGTAATCTATTTGAGATGCTTCAGTGGCATTGACATTAGTCCTATTAGAGGGAAACAAGGAGAGTGATATACCAGAACCACTACAACCACTAATACATTACTTCCAGGATGTGATGATTGATAGTCTTCCAGAATGACTACCACCATCGAAGGACATTTAGCACGTGATAAATCTTATACCAGGTTCAGTGTTACCGAACCGACCCACCTGTAGATTGAGACCTGCGGATTACGAGGAGTTGTAGCGACAGGTACATTTCTTGTCGCGAGAGGTTTGGTCAAAGAGAGTACTAGTCCGTGTGCTGTCCTCTTCTTAATGGTACCCAAGATGGACGGTTCATAGCGGATGTGCATTGATAGTAGGGTCATCAACAAGATTACCATCAAATATTAGTTTTCCATTCCTCACCTGGACGATCTCTTAGACCAGTTGCATAGAGCCACCATCTTTTCTAAGATCGATCTAGGCAGTGGGTATCACCAGATCCAAATGGGATCAGGAGACAGTGGAAGACTGCGTTCAAGGCACAAGATGGTTTGTACAAGTGGACCGTTATGCCCTTCAGATTGTCAAACGTGCCCAATACTTTTATGAGGCTGGTGAATCAGGTATTCCGAGCTCACGTTGAGAAATTCGTGGTGGTCTATTTTGACTATATTCTGGTGTACAACCGATCTGAGGACCATTTCCAACACCTGAGATCAGTGTTCGAGGTATTGTGTGCATAAAATTTGTATGCCCATCCAAAGAAATGCAACTTTATGATAGATCAAGTGTGTTTTTTGGGTTATATCGTGTTTAATGCAGCCATTCAAATTAGTCCAACTAAAATCGAGGCCATTGTGAGCTGGACCGCACAATAGTCATTCATCGAGTTGAGGCAGTTTCTGGGATTAGCGTCGTTTTACAAGCGATCCATCGAAAACTTTTGTACCATCACCACCTCTTTGACAAATCTTTTGAAGGGAGATAAATTCCAGTGGACTGAGGCAGCTCAGAATAGTTTCAGTACACTAAAAAAGAAGTTGAATGTATTCGGCGTGGGAATAGAAGCAACGTTGAGCCAGGGAAGGGATACATCCAGTGTGGGGATAGGCGCAGTGCTGAGTCAGGGAGGCCACCCTATTGCCTTTTTTAGTTAGAAGCTGAATGATTCCAGGAGAAAATACTTGACATACGATAAGGAGTTTTATGATATTGTGAGAGCTCTTGAGCATTGGAGCTCTTGTTGGAAAATGAGTTCACGGACCATGAACTCTTGAAATTATTGAATAACCCGAGTAAATTGAAGGCTGAAACACGACTTGGGTTGAGTTTTTGGCGTCGTTCCAATTGTGCATAAACACAAGGTAGGGAGTCAGAACCTTGTTGTAGATGCGCTTAGCCGCCGTCACTCTTTGATCATTGCATTGCAGCCGAACATCATGGGCTTTGAGATAGTAAAGGAGCTTTACGAGGCAGACAGGTATTTTGGGAAAATTTGGAAACAGTGTCTGGAGAAAAGCCTACCGGTTAATACTACAGAGTAGATGGATACTTATTCTGCTAGAGTAAGCTTTTGTATTCTTTGATGTTCGTTGAGGGAGTTTGTTGTTCAGGAAAGCCTCAATGGAGAACTCGCTAGACATTTTTGGCAGGGACAAGACTGTCACATTTGTGAAAGTTTTTTTTTTTGCCCCAACTAGCGAGAGATTTGGAGCGTCACTTCAAGCAATGCAGGATTTGTCATATAGCCAGAATCAGGGGGGGAAATGCAGGGTTATTCACTCTATTACCAGTACGAGATGTGCCATTGGTTGACGTTAACATGAAATTTGTGGCGGGACTTCTGAGAAAACAATGACATTAAGACTTAGGCATGGTAATGGTAGATCGATTCTCGAAGACCACATTGCGTATCATGCCACTGAATACTGGACACGTCACATGTCGCTGCTTTGTATTTCAGAGAGATTGTGAGGCACGTGATACCCTGAACCATTACTTCAGACAAGGATGTTAAAGTTCCTAAGTCACTTCTAGAGAATTTTGTGGGAAAAATTATGCACTAAGCTCCAATTCAATTCGACAGCTTACCTCTAGACAGACGATCAGACGAAGGTAGTAAACAGGACCCTTGTAAATTTGCCGAGATGCTTTGTTGGAAATAATATAAAGTAGTGGGGATGGATTCTAGCTCAGGCCGAGTTTGTAACAGATCTGTGAGCCAAACTACAGGTTGCACCCGGTTTGAGATCGTGTATGGGCTCAACCCTCCTACACTTGAATTAGTACCACACCTATCGACGTCAGAGATTAGTAAGGATGTGGACGAACGGGTGTACGTGATTCAAAAATTCCACGAAGAGGTCAGAAAAGAGATCCTTAAGCAGAATTATAAGTATCAGGCATGTTGACATCAATTTTTGGAGGTCACGAGTGTCGACAAATTTTATACGTCGCATAATGTGTGAATTATCGTTTTGGGCACAATCGTCGAAACGTTTTGGGCACAATCGTCGAGGGCACAATCGTCGAAAAAGTGGCCCAAACGACCCCAAATGACGAAACGGACCACAGTAGTGAGTCCGGAACGTCAATTTCACTTAGGGAGGATGTTTATTTTGTTGCGAGGACATGTTCGACAAAAAGATGCGGAGAGATAATAGTAATAATAATAATAATAATATTATTATTATTATTAAAAAAAAAGAAGTTGCGTAACTCTCCTCCCTCTCTCTCTCCTCCCTCTCTCCTCTATTCTCTCTCCCAAAAAAAAAATAAAGAAAACGAAAAAAAAAGAGAG